GAAACAAGGCCTAAGGCTGCTGCTGGAGAAAAGAGAATTTTATGTAGTTAAAGAATTTTACTCCGCTGGAAAGGGTTTCCAGCATAGGCTATAAATACGAGAGTCCCTGCACTCTGGTTTACTATCTGAGAAAAATACAGCACAAAAGGAAAAAGGAGTTTGGAGGGAGGAGACAAAAAACAAACCCAGGCCCTAGTTACAAAGTGGAGCTATTGTTAACACAATGAAGGAGTTTGGATTCTTCTCCCTCTAGTATTCAGTGATGGTAGCTGGGGGGAGGGGCTCTTGCATGAAGCTGTATCCATGCATGATGGCGATTGCCTGACCCCTGCCTATCTGCAATCATCCTCCCGGAAGATTTCAGTGCTTTCACACTTTGTGTTAAAGCAGGAACTGTTATTAATGGACTTGATTTTATGGTAGGGAGGGTGGTCACAAATAGCAGATTGCAAGCTTGGCTGAAGAGTTCTTTTCTATGAGCTATGGGGCAAAGTTGCATTGAATACAGATCTTTAATTTGCTAGTAGAAACTGAATAAATTGTTTGTGGGTTACCTAGATCAGAAGCTCAGGCTAAGGAAGGAGTGTGCCCAAGAAATACTCTGGACATTTTTTTCACATGGGCATGTTTGATTTTGTGTCCATGCAGATACAAAGCAACTTGAGTTGTTGGCCACTGCCTATTGATTTGGGAAGCATTTGTTGATATTAAGGTCTAGATGGACTGAATTAACATTAAAGGTCTATGGTAAAGGTCTACATTAGTATAGGAAGAGAATAACAGGTAAACCTCCAGAACCTAAACGAAGTTGATTTTCTTCAAACAAACTATATTCAGCATTAAACACAGTGTCTCAGTTTGGGAAACACACAAACTGTATTGATGCAAATGTGGAAGCAAAGATTTCCAGACTCTTGGCAACATGGGGGAGGAGCATGGGAATCTACTCTAAGATACCATATTTACTTGAATCTAATGCTCACCTTTTTTGGCCAAATTGCAAAAATTAAGGTGCGCATTAGATTTGATGGTGCATTACTTGAGTAAATATGGTACATTTGGTCTCAGAGGCCTGCCTCCATATACTCTCTGGAACAAGAGCTCTTGTTGCAAAAGTTCCCTCTCTGGTTGCAATAAGTGTCTGATCCTGAGGCCAGCTGAAGTGATACTGAGCTAGAATGGGAGAAAGGAATATGTGTCTGCTAGTCACTAGGTAACAAATCTGTGGCAAAGTGAAAGTTTTTATTGAAGTTACAGGTAGATTACAGCCATGTTGGTCTGCCATAGTCGAAGTATGCATGCACACGGAAGCTCGTACCAATGACAAACTTAGCTGGTCTCTAGCGTGCTACTGGAAGGATTTTATTTATTTATTTATTTATTTATTGGAGAACTTCAGAGATGGAGAGAGTGGGTTCTGGGAGAAAGACGCATGGATGGTGTTGCTAGCCTTCTTGCCTAGTATCTGTGTTTTTGACAGTTGTGTGGCAGATAACCAGAGTAGCAGCCCTGGTGGTTCCCATGGCTCCATCTTGATCCTGGATATGCCTTCATAAATGTAATTAAGTTTGTAGAGTTGTAGGAGACCATCTGGAGCAAGTAGGCTGGTAATGCCACAGGGGAACAGCTGGGAGCACTTTGATTACTGTCGCTGTTCATGCTGTGAGCCTCTCTTGTGGTCTTTTTAAAGAACTGGGCATGTGGAAGGTCCGGTACTTTACACTTGTTGAAGAGTTGTCTGTGGAAAGCAAAAACACAGAGTAATAGTTCTGTATGAGAATTTTTATATTCACATTTGCTCAAAATGTATGTTTTGTTTAGAATAGGATAGATTTTGGTCTACCCTAGGGAATACCCTCTTGTTAGCAGGGATATATAGGCAACTATAATGTAGCAGTTTAGGGGCCTTGGCTGATACAGGGTTCTATCCAAATAAGTTCTACTCAGAATAAACCCATTGAAATGAATGGACCTGAGATAATCATGCCCATTAAGTTTAATGGGTCTACTCTGAGTAGGACTAGCACTGGATACAACCCATAATCTGTACTATAAAGCTTGTTGATCAACGCATAAGGCGTATACGAAGGAAAAGGAAGTGACTAGAGGAAACTTTACATTTCTAACCCTGTGCTCTGAATAAATGAAAATTAGTGATTTTGTGAAAACTTCTGTTTAACTTTTATGCTTGCTTTATATCAGCACATGGCTAGTTGAAAAATATTGTCTTCCATATTTTGTTTTTAGAGGCTGTGCACTGCAGACCCTCTTGACATTTGAAGCTTGTAGACAGGGTAATAGCTTTGATGGCTGCAGTTTTCTTCAGCCAGAAGTAAGAAAAAACATTGACTTAGGATAGTATTGGAACATAGAGTGCAGTTTCAGCTGCAGCTTTGCCATTTGCTAAAAGCCTTGTGAGCCATTTTGACAGTGCTCGGAAATTATGGAACCTTAAGTCTTCAAATGGCTCATCTTTAGGAGTAGAAAGTAGATAACATCAATATATTTGTTCTCTGCAGCACTATGCTGTTGTCTTTTTGTATTCTGGCAAAGCACTGCCCCCCCTTTCTGTAAAATAGTTTTGACTAGTTTTTGCAATACAAGCTATCTAGTACTAAGAAATCTATATTGGTTAGCTAAGAAAATTAGAGGCTTTCATTATGAGATACCACTTTTCTTTGCAGAGTTGTTTATATATATATTTCTCATGTACTGGCTTTTCAAAGTGTAACTAGTAATGAAACTGAATTTGTGAGGAATGCCCTTGTGTTTGAGACCAATACATACCAAGCAAGGTCATATTTCTGACTACAAGTCTTCTTATAACATACATTAAAATAGATGCAGTGAAAATAAAGTTTGGGTTAAAAGAGAGAATTCTCCTCCCCCTTCCCCGAATCAGTACAGCATGAAAATATTAAACTTCACAGATGGACCTTGGTTTGGATCTAGAAAAGTATGAGCAGACCTTAGTTTCCTGTTTTCCCCCTTCTGCTGCAGCCCCCCCCCAAACCGTCACTAAGGGTTGAGGTCACTTTGGAATGCATATAGCAGGGTTCAGCAAACTTTTTCAGCAGGGGGCCTCAGACCTTGTGGGGGGCCAGACTATATTTTTTTTGGGGGGGGGGAATGAGCGAATTCCTATGCCCCACAAATAACCCAGAGAGGATTCCCGGACCATCCGTGGGGCAGATTGAGAAGGCGATTGGGCCGCATCCGGCCCCCGGGCCTTAGTTTGCCTACCCATGGCATATAGCATAGGGACTGAAGTGGGAGCTGGGAACTGGCACAAGTGGACAGGGTATTAGGCATGATTTAAAGTGCCTTCTGCTGGCTCAAGGAACCTCCTGAATTCTAACTCGTGTGTGTGTGTGTGTGTGTGTGTGTGTACTGTTCAACAATGTCAATTGAAGGTTGTCTGATTAATATAAACTTACTGTCACCAGAAGTTGGAAATAAATCCTTTGGGAGTTGAATTTACAAGGTGCTGATGGAGGATGTCTTTTATGTTGATCTAATTATGTATGGTCTTTTTAATGTTGTGCCCAAAGAAGCTCTAAGTTGGTTGGACATAAATGTTAAGTTGGGCAAGCTACGTGCACCAATCTTTGCCAAACTGGTGTTCTCTGAAAGTTTCGAATGACAGTAATCCAAAACATCTTGTGAGTACCAGGTTGGTTGAATGCTTCTCTACGTGATGCACTTTCCAGGCTTGATTTCTGTGACAAAGTACTATGAGATAGATTTCTGCAGATATTCTAGGATGCGGAAAAAAATTAATACATGTAGCTATGGCAAATATGGGGGAAAGATTGGACATTAGGTTTTGAAGCTAGAATATGTCATCTAGAAACATTTAAAATATACCTGTATGCTGTATCGTTGGCAGGTGACACTGATTTAATATTTTACTGACATTTGGTTTGTCAAAGTACATGTGGCCATCGATTTACTCCTCTAAGAATAACCAGAGCAGTATGGTTTGTTTTGCAATTGATTTTTTCCCACTGAAAATTCATATCCGATAGTAAGAAAAGATTCAAGGAATTGTTAAACGCATCTTGTTTTTCTCATATGTGTGTGTGTGTGAGAGAGAGAGAGAGGGGAAAAAAATCTGAGAGAAATATAAAAGTTCATGCTGTGGTTTCTGAAAGCAGTCATGCACTGCCAGCAGGCATTTACTTAAAACAATGTTATACTCTGTTACTTAGTACTGTACACGTAGAGCAAAGCTAACTGCTGCTTCTATTATGTGCTTCTTTTGGGGCTAGAGGATGCTGTTGCTTTAAAATCAAGGACTGACAAGAGTTGTTTTCTGCAGCACACTGGTTCTGCTTTGTATAGTGCTTTATGCAAATACGCTGCCTGATCAGTCTGCTTGCAGTTAGTTGCTCTGTTGGGTGGCTCACAAAGAATCAGTAGACCTAATTCAGCATTCAGTTGTTTAAAACGGCAGATGGAAGGAAAGGATGGTGAGCTGTGGATTTGTTAACACCTTGCAAAAAAGACTACAGTGATTCCACTGAGGATCAGAATGTTGCTAGTGAATGGATCTGGGCATTATTTGTGCTTAGGTCACTTTATAATGGCATGGTTAGCTTGTGTGACTCCAGTCACAAAGAAGCTGGTGAAAATATGTATATATCCACCCTCTTTCAGAGCCAGAAAATTATATCTGACTGAGACACTCGTTGGTAGCAGCTGTCCTTGCAGGAACAGGAGCTTTTTGAGGAGCTGTTAGTAATAGGCTGAAGTCTGGGTTTTTGTCGCCGTTATTACACTTTTAATAAGTAGAATGACTTGATGAATATCTTTTAAAGTACAGGATTTATGTGATATTTGTCTTAAGTGAATTATTCAGAAAGGAAAGTTGGTTGATTGCTTTTTGTTGTGTGTGCTGTTCAGAAGGTGGGATCTGTTGCCTGAAAACACTTTCTAAGATTACTGTACTTTTTTTTTTTATAAGATTGCTTCTTTCACAATATTTCCTTTGTTTGCAACTTTGCTTGTCAAGGCCTCTATAAAGCAAGCTGAGGAAGTTCGGTTCACTTTATATTCTGCCTTGTGTTTTAGAAGTTTTTCTTTGAAGTTCTCTTCTGTTTATCGTATTTTTGCTGCTTTTTCTTAATTTCTTTGGATTTTAAAATGAGATTTTAGGTCACATGTAGGAGGAAACGTTTTGGATTTTTGTGTTGAAGAGGTGCATTTTGAAAACAACTATATCATGGGGTTGGAAGATACCGTAATACGGAGTGAAGAACATCTATGAGAAATAATGCATGTGCCGCTTCCCTCTGGGATATAAAATGGAAGAGCTTATTTAGGACCGCTCTGTCAATGATGAAAGCAGTGCCAATGAATGAATTCTTACGCATTCAAAACACGTGTTTCGGATTGGAACTACATAAAAGGAGAAGTTAGCTCTCAGCACAGAACTAAAAGAAGGAAAATCATGTCTACTACGTTCAAGGAAGAAGGAGCCCAGCGTACTTGAGACATCAGAAACAAAAGAATATGCTACTGTATTTGAAGACTCTGACATTTGCTTTGTCTGTATAGAGGATAAAGGAATTTTACATGTTCAACATAATGAAATCCCTGTGTGAATGTGGGATTTTTACGTTCATTTGACTAACCGAAGATGTTTTAAAAATGAATGAATTGGGGCACTGCTTTTTCAAGGAAACAAGATTTGGATTTTCAAAGCTTATTGTACTCTCAAGATAAATGCAGCTGTTGTAGTTTGCTCTGCTTGTGCAGGAGATCAGTTTGACCAAAGTAAGGAGAAAATATGAATTGATTGCTTTTGGCATATTGTTCGTGCTTGCATTCCTAGGTGTTTAACCTGTACACACATGTGTGAGAGAGCAAAAACATCTCCATACTGGAACCTAGATTCTCAATAGACTTGAATATGTTGTGACAGTGTCAATAAGGAAGCAGATTAAAGTGTGTGTATATAAGCGATCAGAGGCACTGACTGTTACCCTTCATGATAGAGGAAGCTAATTTTTCTTTATATGCAAAGAAGAAATATTGAAAATAAGAGAGAAAACAGCACAAGTGAGGAACAGGAGAGTATTGAAAGATTTTGATAACCTAGAGTTGCTGAGAGTTGAAAATATGGATGATTCGAGCATTCTACGAAGGAGGGGGTTACAGGTAAGAAACAAATCTAATTAGTAATTCCCTGCCGGGGTGAGCTTAAAATGCTGTGAAAATTATAGAACTGTCATTCTGCTGTAGAAAAAGAATACAATAAGGCTGTAGCTGCATTTGGAGCTCAGTTATTTTAATGACAACGTTCTAAATAGAATTCTGTTATAGGGTTTTGAAAATGATTTTTGAAGCTGCATTAAAATTCTTGATTTCATGCAGTCCAATGGTGTTTGATTTTAAAGGGAATCAACTTTCCAAAGCTGTATGAAAAATGTATGAAGTCACCCGTTGGCATTGGGGAATATACTTAAATGCTGATGAGCAAAAAGTATTTTAGATTCATAAATTAGTATTGTGGAAAGCACATCTCAAGGTTTTCTGATGAAATGACATTTGCAGTTTTAGGTATTTCACTGGATCATTTGGGATAAATTAGCCTTAGAGCCTTTCTGTCTTAATGAGACAAGACTGACTTTTCTGCACATTTACCTGCGAGTGAGCCCCACTGACCTCTGAATAGTCAAGCGTAGGAGTGTACTGTTAATTGATGTCAAGTTAAAAATGTGGAATTAGAGTGAGCCCCCACTTGATTGTGTGGAAATGTAACATTTCTAGAGAAACTTCTGTTTGAAATGGAACACTAGTTAGGGTAAGCCCAGTAAATAGCAATATAGATTTGGAAACATCTCTTGTCTATAAGCAAGAGATCTTATAAATTATATAAGATAGATTCTAAAATAGATAGTTTTATATAATAAAAATATATTAAAGCATGACTTTAGTTTGTGTTGCCCCACATTTAGTGATATTTGGAGCCAGATCTCATCTGTGAAGAATTTGCCTGAGTGGTATTACTGGGTATTGCTCAATATTTCTACAGTTTTATCCGGAACAAACAGCACCGGAACAATGTAGCAAACTCAAATTTCATGCTTGTCTTTTGAAATGTTGTTTTTGCTAAAAACCAAACAAAACCCACTTTCAAATAGATTGTGTTGATGGATGGTAATCCATAGAATCTTAACATTATTCAACACAATAGCACATAGTTCTGCTTATAGATTCCTGAAGGCCAGAAAAGTATTTTAACACACGTTAAATTTACTGCTTATGTACTGAACAAACCTCTCTGTTGGCATGTGATACGAGTAGGCACAGGCTTGACGTAAAGCTTGCAGTTGGACATAGAATGAAATCTTATAACTTTTGGATTAAATGCCATGGTTTATTTAAAACATTTCTACTGCTAGTTCTGGGCACAAGGAATGCTAAGTGTATTTATCTGGACTGCCATAGTACTCTTATCTAAAGATTAGGCTTCTTAATTTTTTCCTGATTGTCTATGCATTTTCTCCATTTACGTTGTTTTAAATCAACTATATTTAATTATCATTATGTTCGTTCAAATTATCGAAGTGCTTAGGATGTCTGTTGGGTAATTTGAATAAACCATGGCTTTAAAATGTTTCTTAAGTATTAGTCATTAGTTCAATTCAGTACAAATTCCTCAGTCTTTTTGTGTGTGGATGGGTTGCTGCAGATGTAAGGTAGTCTTTAAATGGCAGTTAAAGAATCAGATCAGGGTTAGGGGACTGCAGCCTTATCATAATCCTCTACATAGAAGTAAGCCCCATTGAATTCAATTGGACTTATTTCTGAATAAACGTGCATAGGATTGTAGTTTATGACTTGCTTTGTCATAGGCCTTAATAGCTAAAACTAGCCCAAGGTGGAATTCAGTGTCACACTATGATGAACAAGCATTGCAGTTTTCTGGAAGGAATGGTTCCTGCTATCTTCCTCTCTGTGTGCTGCTCTGTGGGTTCCTTGACCCTCTCCCTGAGCCAATTTTGGGGGGCATGGGAGGAGAGAAGGGGAAACCCTGTTGTGCAAGTGAAAGTCTTGCACAGTGCTTCTGCTGATGGAGCTGGTTAGGTGAATCCCACCCAGTTGTGTGTTGTTTTTGTTTAATCCAGCATTTTAATAGCTGCTAGAAGGGTTGTGGTATAGCAAGTCTGTTATGTTTATTTCAGTGCTAGTTAAGGGGAATATATAGCTTGGAAAGAAACTTTTGTTAAAAAGGGTTTGAGGATGCCCAATAGAAGGGAAAAGTAGGAGAGGGGAAAATATCACATAGCAGAGCAGTGCTGTGGGGGAGAATATAGGTTTGTTGCTCTGTACCATATTAATACTTTAAAATTTAGTCAGGTACAGTAATGCAAATACTTTCTGAATATGGGGTACCAGTGAGAGTGTTTTAATTCTAGCAGAGGCTTCAGACCAATGCAGTCATGGAAAAGAGGAACTTGCTCTGGTCGTTAGTAATGTCATAGGTCCAAAATTGTTTTTTTAACGTACTTGATTCATTGAAACAATTTCCCCTTCTGCCATTATAGGGGTTATCTGTATCAAGGATGTGGCATTTAATTCAGGCAATTCAACCATTTTGGATTGCTAAGAGTGAATATTGGTGCTTGAGATGGGTACTGTACTTAAAGGTGCTGAAGCAGAAAATACAAATTGTTTCTTTTGATACTTTTTAATTTTTCCTGCCTCTAAGTAAAGAGATGGGTTTTTCTGAGTGGGAAAGAAGCCTCCAAAGTTAATGATCTGCCTCATTCAATTTGACTCAACTTTGAGAGCAATGACCTTCATACTTTGTGGACAGATAATTCTAGGGGCCAGAATGCTAACCCAAATTTCTTGTTATCTCTCCCTGTACCCTTGAAACATACAGTTAAAAGCAAATGCAGCCTGGATGCGCTTAGTCAGCTTTTTTCTCCTTCTTTTACATGGAGTGAGTAGTGCCAGTTAAAGTGTCTTGATTTTTAGGCCCTAAATACTCTGGGGATCAGGCACATCCACACTTTCTTTTTCTTTGGTTACTATAGTTTATGAATTATTAAAATGCAAATTCTTCCCTTCCAAGCTTGGCATATCCAGCCCTGCTGTGGTGCATGGGCAGCAAGCCTTGAGCTGGCAAAGTGATTGGGTCAGGATTGAGCCCAGTGCTGTCACGTGACGGTAGTGGGTCCAGCTTAGGTTCCAACAGATTATGGGTCAGCTCAAACAGAAGGGGAAGCTTTGCACTGGTGTCCTTTTACATGTGAGGAGACTGAAGGAGGTTGATGGAAATCTGAATTGTTCTGCCACTGCTGCATTATTGTTTGAAATTGTGGGTTTTCTTGACCTACTGCAAAAATTAAAATGTTTCCTAGTCACAAGTGCATTTGCACATAAGGCTAAACTGTTGTATTAGGGCTTGCCTGCTCCCCCAGGGTGGCAGCGATAAGGAGAGCAAAAGCTTTCATTTCCATTTTTAACTAGCTTCAGTTGAGTGTTATGTCTGAACTGGGACAAACTGTGGTTTAGTCTTCATTATGGTTGATTGAAACAAGCCAATTAAGATATAGTTAATGCTTTTGACATAAAACTAAACTGTGGTTAATTGAAAATGGAAACAACATCTTCCAATCGCTTTCTTGTAGCTGAAAGGAGAGGAGAGGGGAACTCACGAGACTAAGTAGTGGCACTATAAACCATAGTTCACCATTATATCCAAATGCCATTGACTGTATATAGATAGAGAAACCCTATCAAGCCTCAGGTTCATGGACTCTGGCTCATCCTTCTGCACAGTCACAAGGAGGAATTCAGAAACTATTGCTTCCAATTTCCATTAGCTATATTTTAATGTGTTGCCTGAAGCTTTAACAGTACAGTGATACGTCTGATTATGAACATTTCTGGTTACGAACGCTTCAGGTTATGAGCTCTGCTAACCCAGAAGTAGCTGCTCCTGGTTGCGAACTTTGCCCCAGGATGCGAACAGAAATCGTGCACCAGAGGCCCCATTAGCAAAAGCGCGCCTCAGGATAAGAACGGTTTTAGCTTAAGAACGGACCTCCGGACTGAATTAAATTTGTAACCAGAGCTACCACTGTAGTTAATCTTAGCCGTTTAAAAAACAAAACAAAAAACAACAACAACCCAAGCTGCCTTTACAAATCATGGTTTGAAGCGGACTTGTTTCAATCAACCTATATAAACTGCTGTTATTCTATACTGGAAGTGAAAGCTTCTAAATTTATTGTGACTGCTCCAGAGGAGAAGACAAAGAGATGGGCAATGAGCAACTTCAAGGCCTGCTATTGCACATTATTCTTGTGCTAAATGATGAGCAATGTCTACTATTAAACATGTGCACAGGAGGAATATTGGAGACTGGGCAAAATTTGCGAAAATCACCTTTACAAGACATTGCAAACATGGATTGGGATTACTGAGATATGGATGCTTGCAAGAGTGTGACAGTAATCATTCAAGTTGATTTTAAGATTTCTGTTTTATTTTGTTCTTTTAATCAGCTAGCTTCTTCTAAATACAGCCTGTCAAGTTTTTAGGTACTCCCAAGTTCCGTGCATTTAGATATTATTTATTTACCGTTTATATTTAAGTAGTTTTCTACTGACAAGTTAGAGGAAGAATAATGTGAGTAGGAAATCAGTGAAAGCCTTCTGTGCAGGATTTCTCTAATGACCTTCTGATTTATCCAGTCCTTTAAATTGCATTTTAAAGTAATACTGTGCACTTGCTTTGTTGCTCTTGATTTGGGTAGATTGTGTTTAAAAAGCAAAACCTATTAGGAAAAGTCTTTATTAGTGTTTTGCTGATGCGGAAAATAAGTTGAGTAAACTAATGTTTACTTTTATTCTCTGTCCTTTCATCTGCACCATATTGTATCAATGTTATGGGCTTGGTTATTTTACTCCCACTTTGGTGGTGGTAAATAGTCAACAGGGTCCTTGGTAGCTTCTGTTGGTACTGCCAAAGAATAATTGCTTGAATCCTTGTGGCCGTTAGAGAAATAGGATATATCACTTCTATTAATATCACCCCAGATGCAGCCATGTTTGTGCCAGAAATCCCTAGTCTATAGCAGAACCAGTTTTCCCTCTTGGCAGCATAATATGCTGCCAGCATGCTACAAAGCTGACTTTTTC